AAAATCTTTTAATTTTTTTTCAAAAAAATTTTACTTTTTTTAAAAAAATTAATGTTTGGCCATAAAATTTCTAATTTTCACTTGAAAATGAATTTTGGAATTTATTAAAATTTTGAAAAACTCCAAAAAGTTATTTTTCAAAAATTTCACTCAGATTACTCACAAAACTTAAAAAATAATCCAAAATTATATTAATGTCCAAGCACAACTCTAATTTTCAAATACCATTTTCACTTAAAAAAAAATTTAATTTTTTCGGAATTTTACAATTCTTATGTCCAAACGCCCACTAAGCCTTCAAATTATGATCTTTTGATTGTTACATTGACATCTTGGATCAGCGAACAGAGGCGGAGCTAGCCTATTAATTAGGTATTCGGTCAGCCGAACTCGGTCATTTTTGTTTAAATATTACTTCTTTCGGTTGACAATAAGTGACTAATTTGCCTTTTTATTTTGTTCAAAATAAGTGTCCATTTCTATAATCAAGAAAAAATTCAAAATTACCCTTATGTACGTATCCCTAAAAAGTCTTTTACTTCTCACATTAAATTATGCTACAACATTTAATTAAGGATAGTTTAGTCACACTAACTATTTTTGTCTAGAATTTAGTATTTCCTTAATGGGTGTGCCCAAGGAAAATTGGTCACTTATTGTGGACCGAAGGGAGTATATTTTTACTAGAAAATTTATTAAATGTATATACAAATTTAATTATAAACCCAATAACTAAGACGAGTTATGAATTCTTTGACAAATTCAGAACATATAAAGTTTAAATCTTGACTCTGCATCTGCCAGTCAAGACTTAATATGATTGTGGAAAAATCAGAAAACTACAACAAAAATTTATAGAAGATAAAAAGAAAAGGAAAATTGAATAATTCAATTAAAGATATAGCTATATTTAGAGAGTAATGTATAAGTAGGAGTAAAAAATCTATTGAAGAATGAAAATAAAGTTGGGCGTGTTGAAAATAGCTGTTGGCCAGCTATGACCTAAGTCCAAAGCTTTGACTAGTTGACTCTTTTTCGAATATTTATTCTTTTCTTATTACTTTTACCACTGTGCTATTTGCAGTAATTTTTTTCTTGCAGAAATAGCCAGTACACTTTGTTTTATTATGAAAACAAAACCCATAATATTAATGAAGTCGTAATATGGACCACACTCACACTAATAAACTGATAATGACAATCTATTCCTCTTACAATACAACTGTGTGGATTGGCCCCTGCAAGTAGTGTTCACATGATGCTCTTATTTTATTTTATTTTGATTTTTATCTTGTGTTTGATATCCTAAAATTCGACTAAATTTGAATTCGTGTTGATAATTCCTGCATTAAGAAATAAAGTGTTTTTTAACAAAAATGACTACATACCTTGTGTGGATAGCCTCTGCAGATGTTTTTATTTTATTTTATTTTATTCTTAATTTTTTTTATCTCGCATCCAGTATCCGCATTAAAACTCGAGTAAATTCTTATTCGAGCTGAAAAATCCTACATTAAGAGATAAGGTGTTCTTTAACAAAACGATTTCATACCTTGTGTAGGTAGGCCTTGCAATAGTGTTCACATAATGCTCTTCTCTTATTTTATTTTTGATTTGTTTGCTCGTGTTTGAAATCCTCATTAAAACTCGACTAAATTCGATTTCGTGCTGAAAAGTAATGCATGAAGGGGGTAAGGTGCTCTTTAAAAAAGCACCTTAAAAAAACAACTTCATATTTTGTGTGGGTAAGTCCTACAGTAGTGTTCACATGATGCTCTTATCTTATTTTATTTTTGATTTGTTTGCTCGTGTTTGAAATCCTCATTAAAACTCGACTAAATTCGATTTCGTGCTGAAAAGTAATGCATGAAGGGGTAAGGTGCTCTTTAAAAAAACAACTTCATACCTTGTGTGGGTAAGCCCTACAGTAGTGTTCACATGATGCTCTTATCTTATTTTATTTTTGATTATTCGTTTGCTTCGTAGTTTG